TTGCTTCCAAGAAAAAAAAATATAGGCAGCTTAGTAGAAGATAAAGTGATATGTGATATGCAATATGGAGGTTCAGACATTCAAACCTGTGAGCCTAAAATATCTCGATGTCCAACTAATTCTCTCAGTTTTAAATACATGCAAACCTAACTGAAAGCCAGACCGGAGGTAAAACTAAAAACTAAAACCCACAAATCCAAAAATCTCAGATCATATAATTTGATACTTACATAGAAACTTACTTGCTTTATTATATCCTGAAAAATCTCAAGAGGCAGATCATGGATTTAGACACCTCTTGAACCATTAGTGCTACAGATATTATTGAAAATCTGCTGAAATTATTACTTCCTGCATTCACAATTCAAAGGGCAAAATTTTCCAAAGATTTACCTCTCTATTGCATTAGCACTGATTTTTGTTCATACAGAAAATAACACAGTATATCAGATAGAGCAGCGTAGTTGGTCTGATAAGTTCTGCATTTTTTATGGCATCCACTGAAATTATGTCATAAGCCCAAAATAAAATGATCAAGAGTACATGTAAACATATATACACACACCTAAATTGTAATATCAAATTTTAGCTTTTCTTACTCCTCAGCTTCAATCAAATGATAGTCAAGGAAAATCAAAACACAGTGCACAGAAGCCTGACTGCAGACAGTCATGTTACAACAAATCATCTTTGTATTTCATTTATCCAATGTTATTAGCAGAAAACAAGCACAAATTTTGAAAAAGAAAAGAAAAAAAATATTCCCCGAATAATTTCCACAGCGGTAGAGGCAAGCATAGAAAATAAATTATTGTGACTGTGTTTTGTTTTCAAAAAGAACAGACAAACCAGGGCTGAGGACATCTTGTAAAAAGTCATGATGATTTATAACAAACCATTTTAGAACATATGTTGCATATGCATGGTTAAAAGCATTACACAACGTTCTATTTTCCAGCTAACTTCTGCTCAGCTGCTGGCTTCAGAGGAGTAAAATACCATGAAGTGAAGGACAGAAAGGACAAACTCAGGTATTAGGCAGGGCACACCTAAACCTGCAGAATCACAGGGCTGACTGAAAAATAAACAGGCACACACGTCCATGGCAGCAAGCACCCACTTACCCACACTCCAAGCAGTGGCAGCAGTTCCCCGTGGTTGCTGTAGAATAACTGGCTAAGCTTAATTCAAGAATGGAACATTTTTAAAGAGGTAAATGTCACAGGGATTTTATGATGCATATTGGGTGTATAAATTTTGTTGAACTGAGTGTGGTGGGTAAACCTTGGCCAGCTTTCAGACCCTACCCAGCCATGCTCTCATCATCCCTATTCCACAGGACAGAGGAAAGCGAGATGGAAAAAATCATTGAACAGGGTAAAGACAGAGAGATCACTTATCAATTACCACCATGGGCAAAACAGTGTCAGCAACTGCCAGTTAAAATAGATTTGGACAGTGAGAAACAAGCCAAAAAAGATTACAACAGCACTTCACCCTGCCCTTTTCCATGCTCAGTTTCATTCCCCTGCCTGTCCAGCAACCTTGTCCCTTTTTAAATACACTTTCAGAGGCATCACTGACTTTGCTGATGGCCTCAGCTGTGGCCTACAGTGGATCAAATCCTTAACAATTCCTCACTTTTCTTGTCCCTGCCTTTGAGATCAAATCCTATTAGCAATGTTTGAGGAATGCTCATGTCAAGTCTTCTGTCTGACTTATGCTCACTATTCACAATTCTAAGGACATTGTGCATTTCCCGTGTCACTGATTTTTTCACCCAAATTTCTGTAATATGGCTCACATGACCAGCTGTTAACCATAACCTGAACCATGCATTACTTCCAAACACACCCCTTTTTTTTTTACTGTTATAACCTCTGCATAACAATTCCCTAAAACAACACTACACTTCAAACTCCAGCTGATACCATAAGATTGTATTTTACAGCTGTTATATTTCAGCATTTTAAAGCTCACAGTATTTTCTATTATGCCATCTGAACTCTTCATGAAATAGTTTCTATTCCCCCTCTGCACAGATAAGGATTCTATTATGAGACACCTTATCTCATGAGCAGGGTTCTTAGTGCTTATCACAGTGCCACTTTTCCATTTACATAGTAGGATTGACAAATAGATTCTATCCATATTTTTGTTTACTGAGCCATTTCCTGTATGGAAACAAATTTGATTTGAAACAGCTCTGAAGTCTAGTAATGGAGAAACCTAATATGTGTCTGTCATACGAAGGTGGGTGAAAGGAAGTGCAGCAGACAAAAAGTCAAAATGGAAAAAGAAAACTAGATGGGGAAAGCACTCAAGTTTTACACTATTCTTCTAAACTTTGTTTTCAAGACAATTTTTTGCTACACAAATCTCTCATTTTCTCATCAAGCTTCTTAATTCTGTATGATTACATCCTTGTGTTCCAATCCCTGGATCTAGTTCATTTCAAAAGCAGGAACGCAGAAGAAAGATTTCTAAAAATGAAGGACACTAGTCTTTGGCAGTCAGGATCACAGAAATGACGCTCACAAAGGATCCTATGATTGTTCCAGGACTGATAGGATTTAGGATTGGAAGAGTCTTAAGAACAGAAGAATCAAATTATGAAACAGAGCTGCAGAAACTTTCACGTAAGTGCTGTTCACTTCCAGTTCTCATCATTACTTTTTCTCCTTTGTTAAACAGAGATCAATAAAATCATTCTGCTAGTAGTTGGTAGTTGGCATCTCAAACCCATCCTCAAGCTATTTCTATACATTCGAGATGATTCATATGCAGAACTGCAGCATTTAATCTTCATGAAACATAAAATGTGAGCTGAAACCTCATGAGAACTCCAAAATTCTCTCTGAACTATCACATAAATCCCATTTTAAAATGTTGTCAACTTTGAGAAAAGATCTCTAAATTATACCATTTCCTAAAGACTTTTTTTCTAGGAAAATACTGAAGCATTCCAGTACTCTGATACCACAGAGAAATTTGTTTTCAGACTAAAAGAACATGAGATACAAAGGCAGCAGCACGAAAATCTGAGTTTCCTACCTTTTATTCACCAAGTACAAGACTAGCTTTGGCTCACTCATCCTATCAGGAATTTCCCAGTAAAAGGGAGAATGCTGGTAGGAGCAGAGTCGAGATTGTGATAGTAACAGTTCTTCTGGCAAAGTGTGAAGTGCAGATGGTGTCAAAGATATGCCAATAACTTAAGCAGGAGCTTCCAATAAAACCTCTTGTAGTGCTTATTACACTCTGTGAATCAAACTGAAAGGGGCAGCCCGGGCTCCCTGCCTCTTTTATTCCACACTAGGCAGTTTAACTACTGCACATCCAAGGGCATCCCCCAGGGAAAAGCCTGCACTCCAGATGTGTTTGTGTCTGTCCCAGGCATGAGCTACCTCTAAGCAAGTCAATTCACAGTCCCCAGAGAAGCAAAATCATCATCAGAAATATAGGAATTACTTCCATCTGATCTGCCTTCCAGTGACAAAACCATAAACAAAAGGGTTTTCTCAAGTATTCCTTTGAGCTCTTTCCAGCTCATCATGGCATTCAATGATCAAAATATACATGATAAGCTGCTCCTGCCTATGAATGGTGCTCAGAGATTTAAAACCACAGACAAGACACACTAAGGCTTCTACCAGAAACCATCAATGCCCTTGTAACACCATTGTCCATATAATTAAGCTTCTCTTTCCCAAACTGGAGATTGGAATGCACACTGCAGATGAAATCATTTACTGACAGAAAACTAACACATAAGGTCTAAACACTGAAGTGGCATCTTTATGTTGGTGTATCTGTTTTAATTAGCTTTACTTTTCATGTAGGGTAAATAAAACATTGAGGAGTCAGCCAGAAAGAGACACCACAAACTGTTTTTCAAATAGCTCCATGAAATGAGCAAGAATAAAGCTTGAAGAGTGTTATATTTACCTCTGTAGCTCCCAGGGCACTTTTAAGAACACTGGGTCAGGTACACTGAGACACTGAGAAAATGTGCAATTTCTTCCCCACTGAGCTGTCAAGGCATTCATGCTGTGAATAGCTAACACCCTTCTTTGACAACCAGGCAAATATTTCTATTTTCTGCCATTCTAGGCATGACGTATCTCCACGTTGCCACAGTTGATTTAGTGCCAATTCAAGTCAAACTTTAGATGTCTGAGCCAGTAACCGGACAAAATATTCTTGATGAAGCCTTGTCACAAACTCATAGACTGCTGCTTAATACATTTCCAAATAGTTAGATAGTAAAAAGGGCTGTAAAGCTGAAATAGCTGCAGAGAAGCAGAACACACCTTCACTGAACTGCCAGAAAGGAGATTTAAGCAGCAAATACAAGTCAAATATGCTACTGCTTCTATTTATTGTTAACATTGCTTCAAAAACACCCCAAGAAAAATTATGTAAGATGATGTTGTTCCTTGAAATCAATTTCATATTTCCCATCTTTCAAAAATACATGCATTTAGAGAAGCACAATTAATAACCAAGTCTATCTGGGCAAGGCTAAATGAACACACCCTGTTCAAGTGACAGTAGCATATAGATACTATAAACATTTTCTCTTAATACTTTAAAAATATAAATATCTAATGACATTTCACTTGCACCTACTGACCAAAGGTTTTAATTTCTGATACTATGAAAGAGGAAGACAGAATGAAGAGAATAATTCTTTCCGTTTTAGGATCCTGTGGAGGATCAGTACTTCAGTCTTGGCTCTTGTTCATGGGATAAGAATGAGCAGGTAATAATAATGGTTCAGTGTGTGAATACTCAAATACAAAGCACAATAAACTATTGAGAGTGAAGACTTTGTGCCAAGAATTTAAAGCACTTTTGAGACTGGATTCCATCACAGTGTTTCCTTACTCAGAGCCTCTCTTTCCAGCAAGATCTGGTTTAGTGTTTTAACTCCCATACTTACAATCTACAGAGCATTAAAATGCACACAAAGTGACTCAGCCCTGACCAGTACTTACCAATACTGGCATAACCAGGCGTGGATGGATCTCCCCCGCTGTTCAAGGAGACCATAAAAGCTTTATCAGCAAGCTCTGCAGTCTTTGGCAAGTCACAAGGATCAGTGTAAACCAGAGCACCGCCAAACCCTGCATCTTCCAGCAGAGAAAGCTGAGGGAACAAAGCAGCACAGGTGAGCATTAGCAACAGCAGTGCCAGAACACATCACTGGTTTTTAATTACTGCTGAGACAGAGGCTTTCCCACACACCAGGTTCTCACCACAGATTGCTCTGTACCAAGCTGCACTGCCAAAGTGCTTGTAGCTCCTTAACAGGTTTACCTGTGATATAAATACCACCCTGAAAATGCCTCAGTTTTGAAAATAATATCACTAAAACATCTTGAGTTGACTTTCCCTATTTTTCATGTTGTTATCTGCAAGATGTTCTTGCTTAGTTTACCCCTTCAAGGGCACAGCACATACTGAATGTTTGCTGGCATCAGGATTCCTGAACACAGTTACTCTTCAATTAAGAGAGAAAACAGGAGTTTACAGAACATTTTAAAAAAAGTAAAATTAAATTTAAAACTCCAGTCTATCTTACCCGAATGTTTTAATCTGCCTCCTGTCAGACAAATAGCTTTTATTTTGTCATTAGAACATCAAAGATTGAGTTGGAATTGGCAATTAGAGTTTCCAAATACCCACAGATCTGGGCCAGAATATCAGGAAAACTTCCCCAAAGTAAAGGACAAAAGCATCCAAGTACCATAACCTGCAGCAGCTTTTTTGACTGGAAAACCTCTGTTTTTTTCATTCATAAAGAACTGAAAAATATAAAGAACTGAAAAATAAGAGGATTTTATTCCAAAACATCCAAAATCAAATGGTAATGTGGCACATACCCCCATGAAATGAGATGACCTTTCTGGGTAATGCTCTGCATATTTGGAATTGCCTGAAGACTACTCACTGATACAAAGCTATATTAATTTTTCAGACAGAAGTCATTCAGGTATTTAAAAATTATCTTACTATTCACTGGGCTGCTCTACTGATGACTTTCCAAATGTCTCTAAATTGTCTGAGGAATAACTGCAAGTATATGATGTTTCTGCACAACTCTTGATTTCACAGGAACCTGAGGACTTTTTACTACACCTCTGTTTCTCAGTCCAATTGTCTTCTTCCTTCTGCATTTTAGAATTTTCTTTTTCATCTTGTGTATGTATATAATTTTCAATTTATCTCCTAGCTACTGGAATTAAGGAACGTTTATACACAATTCTTTCTGGCTTTACAAGTAAGTAAATTACATGACTATATGGCATATATGGTTTGAGCCTCATAAGCATTTGGTGTTCAGTTCTGCTTTACTCAATAGTTAAGACAGGAAAAAATATAAAAATAGCAGCCTAGTATTTGCAATATGCTAAAAATAGCGAACCACTATTTGCCATTTCTGTAAGTAAATATATCTAATATTGTTCTTTGCTAAGACCTTGACACTCATCTGAATTCAGATAAGCAGATGCAAGTTGAACCTGTGAATCACTCAATCCTACCTATCTTACACAAACAAGCAATGCACAGATGAAAAGGGATGGTTTGAGATGAGTAGGAGAATGAGAGAAGGTGATTAGCTCAGATGCTTAAAAATATATTACAGACCTCAAATGTAATGCAGGAATAGGGATTTCCCAAATGGTAGGTTCATTTATTACTGTTTTGTTCTGTTTTCAATTCTTGTTCATATTCGGATATTCAGACACGATTTGATTGCACAAAAAGTAGGGTGGGAGAACTAGGGACACATCATAGCTAAGTGATTGAACAGACAGGATTTAAAATAACTATTGCCTTTTCCTTTCTCCATATCCAGTATCTTTTTATTAATCCCTGGTTAATTTAGTAGCACACAAAACAGGAAATACAGATTTATTTTTTTTTTTAAAGAGAGTTTCAAAAACTTTGTACTTAAAAAAAATAAACAAAAAAACAGTATTAAATTCCTTAGTTTTAGTGAGAGAAAGTAACTACATGTCTGCTATTCACAAAGTGCAGTAACCACTGCTACCATGGCTACAATCTCTAGTAAGGAGTTGTGTCACACATGTGAAATTACAAAACAGCTTTCAGATTTCAGCTATAATTGCTGCTTTTTAACTTTACAACAGTGACAGCACAACTATATCAACAATAACGTGCATTGTTGATTCCATTTTCATCTTGGATACGTTAACACTTTACCAGCCATAAATTGTCCGAGCACAAAGAAGCCAAAGAAGGTTCTGCATATTTTTTTACAAGGCACAAGATTGTAGATTAGTTCCTTCAGGTAAACCAGTGCACATCTACTCAAATGAATGGATTATTTTAGATTGCAAAACCATCCAACAGCAAAATCTGTTCCTTATGATTCTGGATGTATGCGTTGCTCCTCTCCCAAAACCATAAACATCTCAGAAAAACCTGGAAACAGCAGAACCCTTGGAAACACATTCTGCTGCCCTCTGTTAACCCTTTAGTTATTTATGGCTGCTTAAGTCCTCCATTTTTAGAGTTACCTTAAAAAATGTGACTGTTTCAATTCAGTATATTAAATCACCCCATAAAACATTCTGGACTCAATTTACTCTAATATGAGACACCTGCTGCTTTATCAAAGGCCCTGTCATGTACCTGGGGACAGTTTAGCCTTGTAAACTCCACACACCACCAGGCACCATTAAATTGCCTTTTAAAGATGATAAGGCTGAGGCAGTGAAAAGACAGATTGAAACAGTCTGTAGAACTCAGTTCGGCTCTAAGGGGAAAACTCAAAGCTCCTTCTCCATTTTAACTTCTCTGAGATGTGGGAGAGGAAACATTTCCCTTTTGCACTGACACACAGGTAAGTGAGCCCTGCTCTCTGCTCCACATTTCAGACAAGCTTTACTCTGGGACTTTGGCCATAAACCTACTGGAAGGTACTGGGTGCAAAATAAGCAAGCTGAGCATGACTGTTTGCTGAGGAAAAAGAAAAGAAGCAACAAGAAACAGGGGCCACTACCTTTCACAGGTGGCTTCAGTGTGTTTTTGCTCACTTGAGGCCAGCGTGCACCTGAAGGAACACTTAATTAGGGGTTATATTAATGATCTGAACACAGAACAAACCTACCAAAGAGAACAGACTGCAGCCTCTGTGAATCTCCAGCATCATGCTAAAGCTGCCCAGCAGTGACTGCTGATAAGCAGGGAAGCAGTGCAGCAGGTACTGGCCTCAAGCTGGATTTCTTATCTTCCACCTGAGTGCAAAGTCTGACTCTCTGAAGATCTTTTCCCCTGCTCTCTTCTTCTCACCTGAGACCATCCTTGCACCTTGTGGGCACCACACAGCACAAAACCAATCAGGTAACCAGCCCTCATTATTTTCCAGGGTCTGCACTGGACTGGTTACCTGCTAACCCCAGAGCTACAGAAAATTAAAACCATGCACACTGAGGCATGGAGCTGTTCCTGAAGTACCCTCTCTTTCCAACTGAAAATAAAGCATGACTGAAGCAGCACCACACTGATGTTCTGTGCATGGGAGCCACATCTGGGGTTGAGTTTAAGCTGTCATTTCATAAGCAGATTGCAGAAAATCACATCACGCTTTGGTCTCGCCTGGATTACAGCAACCATGAGTACAGAGGGTTTCCTACACTGCTCTCTCACTGCATCTGAACAGCTCAGATCCTGTTTCTAGAACCTCTGATCCAGCAAGACCCTAATGTTTAAAGATAATTAAATAAGCGTGGCATCTTTTCCCTCTCTTTTGTTTTGACTCCCAGCAACAGTTCTGCTACAAATAATTTAGAATGTAGCAATGCATGATTCCTAACAGGGATGGTTAACAATGATTATGAATGCTCCAGAAAAAAAAGAAAATAAGATGATGAAAGTAACTGTGGGTTAGATCAACGTACTAATTGCATATTCAAATAGCTTCTCATTATTAGCAATTCTTCTCACTATATCTGCAAGTGGTTCCAAAGAATGGACAAGCCTCCTGAGAACCCACTGTACACACAGTTCTCCCCCTCATGGTGTTTTACAGCTGTGCAGTTTGTGCTTCATGAGGTACAACACCAGCCCTATTACTGACCAATATTGCCTAAGTCCACTTTCTAAGCTTGTCCATTTATGTGTCCCGATCCACAGAAATGACTGAGCCACTGTAGTTGGCACAGAAAACTTATTTCACAGGAGGAAGTATCTCAGTATATTCCCTGCAAGCCTAATGAAAATGGGACACTAGCAGACAAGAGGAAGATGCTGTTAATACATGACTGAGAAGGCATTAATAAAAACTGAAGAGCTTATTCTTTAATGGAATGGGAAAAAAACATGGAAGAGATCAAGAGACAGAGTGACAGATGTAAAGGAATTCAGAAACTTGTCCACAGATTTTTGACACCACAGAATTCTGCCTCAGGAAACAGAGCTGTGAAAAACCTGTTCACTAATCCATAGAACAACCTGTTCTTTTATTGACTCATACATTATTTAAGATAAAGCATTTCAGTACAAGATACATTGGCTTACAATTCTATATAGCAAGTGACTTTGCCATCGTGGAAGATTCCATTCTTACTCAAAACAAGTAGCACTAACAATGTGTCTGGAAAATTTGATTTAAAATACAGCAACTTCCCAACACATTCCACCATTTGTAGAGAGAATTTCAAATCAAATTTTAGCACTGGAAAAAAAAATTATCCAGATCTTAATTTTATTATAGGTTCCCTACTGTTATTAGGGTCAATACAAATTCAGTGGCATTTTCTTATCTGATCTAATTTTGCTTTTAACTCTATTACACACGGCTTCAGACTTTCTATCCTTACACAATAGTAAATAAAACAATATAAATTAGCTGCACAACAGTATTTAAGAGTTCTCTTCTATCTCATTATATATCACGTACTATGCTAGTATATTTTAAAAGTCTACATTTCAAAAAGCCCTTTAAGTACACCTTGATGTCTGAAGTTAAAAGTGCCTAAAAATGTAGTTCTCATCTTCAGAAGTCATTTATGTGAATGGATTTCACACTGTTGAAAGTGTATCCTCACTCCTGTTCAGATAATCACACTAATAGATAATATTAGGCTGCTCACTGAAACTTCTCAGAGATGTTTGAA